AATAACATTTAATGGTGTAAATAAGATGTATTTCTTGTACTCTTGATCCAAATATACCATTAGTTTCTTTTAATACAATAAATAAAGACAACAAAATAACAGCAACTTTCCAATATACGATATTATTGGTTGTCTGGTGTATGAGTGTGTTGTTGATAATATAGATTGCACATCATACTCTATTTCCTTTATTCCTTGATTAGAACAATAATCTTTCAGAATAAATTTCCAATTGGAAATCACTTTGATCAGAATTAAAAATATTTTCAGATCCAAACTGTTCGATAAGTGGTTTCACTGTTTTTAGAAAATCATCAGCTGTATTTTGTAAATTGTACTTTTTCTGTAAATCTTCTATTGTTCTTCTAGTTACAAATTTCGTAATTTTTTTCGAAACAATTTGATGGGACGTTTTGAATCTTAATACTCAACTATGAGATGCTTTAAATATAGGATTTAAATTTTCTATTTCTTCTTGTAAAGTCTATCTTTGTAAATTAATATCATGAACTATGAATCCTGATTCAACAGCTGTAGTAAATTTATCATGTGTAAATTTGGAGATGTAAGATAATTTTTCTATACGATTTTCACCTGAATGTAATTGTTCTTCCCATCGTCTTAATTGACGTTCAGATAAAACTCTTCTAAATTTATTTTGCACTGATTTTAGTGAACGATTCCTTTTGTTGTTATTTTTTTCATTAATATCCCAATTACGCTAATATTCAACAGTTCGTCTTTTATAAGAACTGTCAAAGTCTGCGTCATCATTTGAACATTAAGGATGAGAATTTAAATTATCTTTACTCCATGCTTCTTCGTCATCTTCAATTATTTTAGAATTATATAATTTATAAAGTTCTTGATAATCGAGATAAATTCTTCTGTTACTTTTAATCCAAATAAATTTAAATTCTATTATAGTTAAAAATGCTAAACAGTAATTTTTGTATGTGTTCTTTTAACTCTATTTCTGCTTCAGTAACTGGTGTTGCTGTTAGATATACTGAACTTATAGATGCTAATAAAAGCCTAACAATATTAAGTGGATTGATAATCATGTCTAAAAATGTTAAACTTTGCTTTGTATCGTAATATAAAAACAATTTAACAAATTGTATAGATATGATTATAACAAAATGACTGCACTAACTGAACGTAAGACTGCTATGTGAATATTCTTATACTGTCCATTTATTATAATTATCTTGAATGTATATATGAATTTATATTATTGCACAGTTATTCCTATCATCTATTCCAAGAAACTTATCTTTTTTTTGAAAAATATGTCACGACTCTGATATCCGATACGTGATTTAGAAGATTATTTCTTATATTTCTCATTACACATGACAATTCAGAAGCAAGATTTTCTAACAATTTAAATATACTTTATATATATATATATATATATTAAATAC